TCATGCTCAGATGCCGAGGAGCTCAGAAGGTGGGCGACTGTGACCAGTGATAGTCATGTATATAGAGATTAGAAATGCATGTGAAAACGTCTCAATGTCAATTGCTTTGGAATGAATTCTTCTGTATGAAAAAAAAATAATGATCAAAAAAAAAAGGTGCACAGGTCCAAGCCCAGCTCAATTTTTACATAATTTATGCTTTGTATAAACAACTGGTCCCAAGATCTACTTAGCAAAAATAGAAAACCTGTTAAAAATTAGAAAGAAATATGTGGGCCAGGTGTGGTGGCACATGCCTTTAATCCCAGCACTTGGCAGAGGCAGGGAGGCTGATCTCTCTGAGATCGAGTCCAGCCTGTTATACATAGTGAGTTCAGACCCTGTCAAAAGACATTAAAAAAAGGTTTTATTTTTGATTATGTGTGTATGTATGCATCTCTGTGTGGGTATGTGCATGTGAGTACAGATGACTCTGAGGTCAGAAGAGGGTGTCAGAGCCCCTGGAACTGGTGTTACACAGGTGGTTAGAAAAAAAAGAAAAAGAAATATGCAAGTGGTTCACTGTTAAAAATCAAGGTAAAGAGCTGGGAGTGATGGTGCATGCAGAGGCAAAGGCAAAATTCCAAGTTCGAGGCCAGAAGGCCAGCCTCAATCTATATAGCAAGTTCTAGGTCAGCCAGGGTTCCTATCTCAAAACAAGTTCCTATCTCAAACGTGGAGGCGGGGTGGCAGAATTAGGGAATGGAGTGAGGGGTGTTGGGCTAAGGGGGACACAACATGCCTATAATTCCAGCACTTGGAAGGTGGAGCAGGAGTAATCAGAATTTCAAGGTCATTCTTAGCCACAAGCAGGTTTGTAGCCAGCCTGAGATCAAAAAAAAAAAAAAAAAAACCTCAAATGATAATGAAAAATTTCCCCAAAACACTAGCAAAAGTATTTTGAAAGGCCTTAAAACAAGAACCAGAACATCCACTACATATAAATCCACATAAATTCACTGTATTCAGTGCCTGCGGAAGCAGGAATAGGGCCTTCAGAGTCCCTGGAACTGGAGTTACAGGTAGTAGTGAACAGGTATGTGAGTGCTGGAAACCAAACCCAGGTCCTCTTCAAGAGCAGCAAGCAAGGTACAGCTCTTACCCACTGTACCATCTCACCAGTCCCTAAATTCATAACTTTTTATTTTTAATGAAACTAAATCCTATCCTATTCATTTAAATAAAAATACAGGTAAGGAAATTGTTCTTTGCACTTAACAGATTCACACACACACAGACGCTATCTTCCTTAGATTACTCCGAGCTAAAAATAGTGATTTCAGAGGTAAGCCAAACTTGCTTTTTTAATTGGTATATAGAACAAAGATTTACCTTCTCTATGCAGTCATCAAAAAATGCCAATCCAGTGTCTTTATCACTTACAAAACTGCATTCTTCAATGAAACGAATAAAAATCTGTGTTTTGGACAAAATGGTATAGAATTTTGTATAGGCACGATCTCGACTTTTTAGAAATCCTGAAGAAAACAAAATTATAACCAATTTTAAAGAGAAACTGAATGTTATATCAAGCATCACTTTTAAGCTTATCTCTATTACACTCTGTATACAAATCCACATGTATGGTGACTTCTAGTATTCTTATTTAGCTCACACAGCCTGATTCAACTATAAAAAATCCAGTATCATTAATCTTTTCACTGAATTCTGAATCTTCTCTGAAGAACCTCTAGCCCATTGCTCTCAAACAAATTCTCTGATACTCTACTACTCTTGAGTCAATGGCCAATGGCTAAAGGGTCAATCTTCTTTCTCTTGCAATGCCATCAGACCATTATTCCTATATATGTGATAAAAACTTCTGATTTAAGGTTTAATCACGTGGCTAGTCTGCTGTTCTACTGAGGTCAAGGACTCCTCTTTCACAGACTAAATTTGAAGATCAGGGCATTTAATACAAAGGCTCTTTTACACTACTGTGGTTTCGCTATGAAGTATCCCACAAAAATGAAACAAGTGTTGAAGACCTAGTTCACAGCTGGTGGCATTATGAGAGGTGACTGGATCAGGAAGGCTATTCATCAGTGTGTTAATCTAGTCATTTAATCTACATTAAATGAGACATTAGCAAGTAGGCCCCCTGAAGGAAGCAGGTCATTAAGGGAAGTCCTGAGAAGGGTCTATCTTGCCCCAAGGGCCCTTTCTGATCTCTCCCACCTGCTTCCTGGCTGTCACAGGTATGGCATTCTCAGTTGGTTCTTCCAACATGTTTCACACAGAGGAAGTTGTTCTTCCTTAGGTATTTTGTCACACTGATGGAAACTGACATGCACAAACCATGCAACATTTTGGTTTCTACATGCCATGGTTTTCCATGATCCTACTATCTATCCACTTCAGTCTTTAACTTTGTTTTTAAATTTTTTTTAAATTATTTTATGTGTATGTGTGTATTGCCTGCATGCAGGTAAGTGCACCCATGTTGTGCAATGCCCAAGGAGGTCAGAAGAGGCTGTCGGATCCCCTGGAAATGGAGTCACTGACAGTTGTTAGCTGCCATGTGGGTGCTGGGATTCAAACCCAACCAGTCTTCTCCAAGAAGAACCAGTATTCTTAACCAATAAGCCATCTCTCCAGCCAACTTTTTTTTTTTACTTCTTCAACTTCTACATGTAATCATACTCATTATATTTTCCTGTGAGTACTCAACATAGCTATTAAAGCTCTAATCTCCATAACATTCTCAGCCTATGTCTTCCATTAGGTTTGCATCTATAAAGTTAAGCTTCTTTTTCAAAAAAATATTTTATTATTTTTATTTTCTATGTATGCCTGAATGTAGGTAAGTGCACCCGTGTCGTGCAATGTCGGCGGAGGACAGAAGAGGCTGTCCGATCCCCTGGAACTGGAGTTACGGACAGTTCTTAGCTGCCATGTGGGTGCTGGGATTCGAACCCGGGTCTTCGGCAAGAACAACCAGTGTTCTTTGTTTGGTTTTATTTTTTGCAAGGGTAGTGGATGAAGAAGGCGAGGAAGTGGGCTTACTGAAACCTCCAACCTATTGACTTTTCTCTTTAGAATGAGGACTTTAAAAAAAAAAAAAAGATTTGTTTTAAATTTTTATATATGTATGTGTGTGTGTGTGTGTGTGTGTGTGTGTGTGTGTGTGTCAGGGGTGGTCTGGGTGTCTGGTAAGTTTATGCCATTTGTGCACATGTATCCAAGAAGAGCAGAAGAAAGTGCTGGAAACCAAACTCAGGTTTTCTGTAAGAATAGTAAGCACTCTTAATCACTGAGCCATCTCTACAGCTTCTCAATGTACTCTTAAAGACTGAAACTTTACTCTCAAACAGGCCTCCATAATCTGAAAAACACCACTGAAAGTGTGGCATTTCAGCCACTTTTCTTTCCACCTTTCCTTTCTTTGCTGCCTTAGGGCATTTCACATGCCCCCACCCCTTGTGGTACTCATCAGTAGGTAAATTATTAAATAAAACAGAACAAATGATGGGGAACAAGACAGAAGAAAAGAGGGGAGACAGAGGGAAGGTGGGAAGGAAGGAGAGTGGGCTGTGTTGGTGCTATATGTCAAAAGAACTGAACTTGAATCTATAATAATTTAAGCCTCCAGACCTGCATTATCTATTTCAGTAAACACATATGGTAATATATCGCCTTAAATGTGACTAATCCAAATTAGTACAATCCAATGGAATTGTACTATAAGCATAAAATACGTATTGAATTTCAGTAATATAAAAATAATGCTGTTAGTGATCTAAAATTTTTTATGTTAGTATGATACTGTTTGGGATATTACATTATTATAATCTTCCTGATCTGTTACATTTTTATTGTGGCTACTAGAAATTTAAAGCTATATATATAATTCACATGATATTTCTATTAGGGCAGAGTAGCTCGTGACACAATTAGAAGTTTATAGGAACACGGGAGCTGGTCATGCTGACCAGCACAACAGTGTAGCAGTTCAGACCACACGTAAGTCCAGGAAATCCTAAAGGGGACAAGTTTATAGGGGATATAATAGGCTGTTTGGATTGCTTTTTCTTTTTTTTGAGACAGGGTCCCCCTGAAGTCCTGCTAGCCTGGAACTCATAATGTAGACCAGGCTGGCCTCAACCTCCCAGAGATCTGCCTCTCAAGATCAAAGATGTACAGCAGCAGTCCCAGCTTTTTGGACCGTACTTTAAAGTGGAAAGGGAAAGGTAAGGGAACAAAGAGGAGGAGGAAGGGGAAGGGAGAGAGGTGAATCAAACAGGACTACTGAAATTAAAAGATAATGAAGTGAGAGTATATTATATATTTTTTGTTTGTAAAACTATTTCTAATAAATAGCTAACTGCAGGCAGGTGTGGTGGTACATGCTTTTAATCGCAGCATTTGGGAGGCAAAGGCAGGTGGATCTCTGTGAGTTCCAGGCCAACCTGGTCTACAAAGCAAGTTCCAGGCCAGCTGGGACTACAGAGAGACCCTGTCTCAAAAAGATGAAAGAAAAAAAAAAAAAAAGTTATCAAATCACCAGGGAATTTCCATCTACTTTTCATTTTGTTCTTTCTTCAGGGAAAATTTCTTTTACCTAGTTAGAAATATTGTAATCAATATTTTCCTTCCAATATAATTAGTATTTGCATGATTTTACTGTCTGACGCCTACATTCCCTCGTAGAAAAAAAACACAAAGACAGACAGAGGGAGAGGATGCATTAGTTAATGACCCATAGGAGACGTCGATATTCTTAGTCCACAGGAGAGTCAATATTCTTAAACAGTCATTTAAGGTCACCCATAATCTGAGATGACCTTTTTTTTTTTCCCCCAGGTCTTTTTGAGACAGGGTCTCCCTGTAGCCCCAGCTGACCTGGAATTCACTATGTAGACCAGGTTGGCCTTAAACACACAAATATCCGCCTGCCTCTGCCTCCCAAGTTCTGGGACTACAGGGATGCACCACCACACCTGGCTTTTTTTTTAATTCTTTTGGGACAAGGTCTCCCTGTAGCCCCTTCTGGCCTGGAACTTGCTATGTAGACCAGGCTGGCCTCCATCTCAGAGATCCACCTGTCTCTGCCTCCCAAGTCCTGGGGCTAAAGGCCTGTGCCACCAGCCACCACACCCAGCTGAGACATAATCCTCAATCAGGTCTTTCATTTAATCCTTTCTTATTTAATGTTTTTTCGTTTTTTTTTTTTTAATTATGCTGCCATGGGCTGAACTATATATCATGTTCTCCCAAACTCACATGCTAAAGTCTTAACCCAGATTACTTCAAAATGTGACAGACCCTGGAAACAGGGTCTTTAAAAGAAATTAATGACTTAAAAATGGAGTAACTGGATGGGCCCGAATTCAATAAAACTGATATCCTGTAGAAGGAAATTTAGGTACAAAGGGGTAAAACTCAGGGAGAAAACAGCTATCTACAGACTAAGGAGAGGAGCCTCAGAAGAAACCAACCCCATCAGCCACCTCAATCTTGGTCTAGCCTTAAACTGTCAGAAAATAAGCCCGTCTCTGGAACTTTCCTATCACAGCCCTAGCAAACTAACCTCTAAGCCATGTGTTTGTTCTTTGCATGTCTTCCGCTTTAGTATCATTAGTGATATTAGTTATTATAAGTATCTAAGGTACTTTTACTGGTTGCTTCACAGAGATTTTCTTATGCACTCTGCAGAACTATAAAGTAACACGCCCATTTTGTTAATGAGAAAGGAAAGCCCCCATTAAGTCTTTACAAATGGCCAAACAGAAATTCAAATTCAGATGTGACTCTCAACTCCTATGGATTATTATAAAATCTTTCCTGCTAGTCTTCATTCTTTACAATGAAGTCTCTTAAGACACCCATTTGGAAGAATTCTTTCATTTTATGATTTTCTCAACAATATGGACTGTTTCACGAACTTGAGAGCCATCCTTGCACAGGGGCACGCGGATCGTCTCTGTCCTGCCCTCATTTTAGTATATTATGTTGCCGAAGCAAGGGATGTTCTGAAAAAATTTTTTTTCCTTTGGATTTTTGTTTTCTGAGATGTGGAGGAGTGTCTCACTATGTAGTCCAGGTTGGCCTCCAACTCAGAGATGGAGATGCACCTGACAGGATTAAAGGTGTGTGCCACCACAGCCCTGTGCCACCACACCCAGCTCATTTTCCGAATTCTTAAAATGTTTGAATTATTGTTTGTAATGTCTTTCCCTTGAATATATGTTCTATTTTCACAATATTTAGATATTTCCCACTTATCCCAGAGAGGTAGATTTTATATTACTTCACATTTCTATGAAAGAAACTAGTCAGACCCAGTAAGAGATGACTAAATATGTATGAATGCTGTTATCTGGAAGCATAAATTATAAAGGACAACAGATTACCGGGGAAAACAGAGTTCTTAAAATTGTTTTATAAAGCAAATGCAAATTTTCATATTAATATTTCTATAGATAAAAGGTTGCAACTATATAAGTGAATACACGAGTAACAACAAAAATGCACTTAATAAAACAATACATCCTAGAAAGAACAAATACATGTTTTCTCCTGGAACTAAGTTACATTTGTCAAAATGCTTAAAAACTTGTGGCTTTGATCCAGAAAATAATTGTTAAGGAATCTTTTAAAGCCATGAACTCTGCAAAACTGAGGAAAAAATTGAAACCAATCACCAGGTGTGCTTCCCAAGACGCCTGATTATATGGCAATAGGAATGTAAATATTATCTTAGACTTTTCAGATTTTTCAGGAAAACAATGGAATATAAAAATTAAAAGAGGGAGCTGGGAGAGATGGCTCAGCAGTTAAGAACACTTCCTATTCTCCCAGAGGACCCAGGTTCGAATCCCAGCACCCACATGGTAGCTAACAACCATCTGTAACTCCAGTTCCAGGGGATCTGACACCCTCTTCTGGTCTCTGCAGGCATTGCATGACACAAGTGCACTTACATACATAAGGCAAAACACTCATACACATAAAAAATACACATTAAAAACAATAATTTTTTTTAATTAAAAGAAATTCTCTAATAGAGTTAGGTTACAAATTATAGATAAACACTATATTTTAGCATGAATTTCTAAGAATTGTAATAAATATTTCTTAGCAGCAATACTTACTAAAAATTTCTTAAATTTCAACTGTAACAACTGTAAAAGCAACTGTAGCTCCCATGACACTCACCCTGTCGATCAAACAATGAATCTACAGCTGTGGCTTTATTTGAAGGAGCCTCTGTGATTGGTCTGAGATATGTCCTATATCCTTTTAAAACAGATGCCATAAATCTCAAAAACGCCTCCTGAATTTCCATCTCAAGTTGCATCATCTTTTTTTGCCAAGAGAAATCTGCTTCAATTGGAGTCATCTCAACAGCTGAACTTTCTTGAGTTTTTCGGTGAACTGACCGTAAAAACAAAAAAGGCATTAATATACAATATCTATTTATGTGACTGACTGATAAAAGACAGTCAAAATACAGCCTATGATCCTTCTTCCTTTCTTGTTTGAGACAGAGTCTCACTACATTCTTACTATGTAACCCAGGCTGGCTTCAAACTAGAGATCTCCTTGTCCTGACCTAACTAGTGTTGGCATTACTCAGCTACACAGCAAGTTTGAAGCCAGCCTGGATAATATGAGATCCAATCTCAAAAAAGAAAGAGAGAGAGAGAAAAAAAAAAAAAGCTGGGGATGGAGCTCAGTTGATAAGAATGTTTGCTTAGTCCTGGGCTCAATTCTGAGCACCACACAAACTGGGCACAAAGGCTCACATCTATGATCCTACCACTTGGGAGGTAGAGGCAAAAGTATCAGGAGTTCAAGGTCATCTTTGGCTAATAAGGAGGGCAGGGTACAGAAGTAAAGTGAGCATGCTTTAAAAAAAAATCATTGCACATAATTATCTAATTCTGTTATGTAATTACTCTTTAAGCAGAGCAAAATGTTTGAATTAAGAAGCATTATCTTATATACAGTTTTCCATTAAAAATATTTTTTGGGGGAGAGCAAAAATAACAAGATCATAAGTTCCAGGCCAACTTGGACTATACAGAAAAGAACTGTCTCAAAAGAAAAGGGAAGTGGGGAGATGATTCAGTGGTCAAGAGCACATACTGCTCTCATAGAGGAACTGAGTTCTGTTCCCAGCACCCACATCATGTGGCTTACAACCACCTCTAATGCCAGTTCCAGGGCATCTGAAACTTTCGGCCTTCATGGGCACCCAAATGCATGTTTACACACTCTCTCACACACACAAACACATAATTCAAAGTAAAATGAATCTTTTTAAAATAAAAAAAAAAAAGAAAGAAAAGAAAAAAATTATCACTTAGGTTTTTATCGTCAGCACCTCACTCCCTTCCAAATCCTTCTTCCTCACATTTACCTGAACACAGCTGGGGATATAATTTTTTCAAGGTGCCCAGTAGATTTTTGCATGGCTTTTTGGGAAGCTGCTTCCAGTTCATGTTCTTCTTTTCATCAGCTCTATCAAATAAGAACACAATCAAGAAAAACTGTAATTTATAATCTACTTTTACTAAACAAAATTCTTACATCAAATTTAATAGAGAAAGGATGTTTTTATTTATTTATTTTTATTTTATGTGTCTGAGTGTTTTGCCTACATGTATGTAAGTGTACCCATGTTAGCAATGCCCACAGAGGCCAGAAGGGAGTGTTGGATCACCTGGAACTGGAGCTACAGTCAGTTGTTAGCTGCCATGTGGGTGCTAGGAATCGAACCCAGGTCTTCTGCAAGGGCAGCCAGTGCTCCTAACCACTGAGCAATATCACTCTAACCTTGCAACACATGTTTCACAACCGGAGTAAGAAAAACAATAATAATTTGAGGTCTGACTTCAAAAGTTACACTTTAAAATTATAATATTTTTAGGCTTTGAATCTGTCTTGAGATTTCAACGTATTGGCAAACCTGTAAGGGATTTTGTGCCCAAACTGAGAAGTATACTTACTTCACTCAGTTTCTCACAGAGGTATAAAGAAAAAATTTAAAAAAAAAAAAAACACAATACTTGTATTATTTATTTAATGGTATTATTTAATATAATCTGTGATCATAACATTTAGAACAAAAAAAAAACAAAGCACTTTTAAAGGTATAGTAAAAGTTGATGTTTCCAAAATGTTATAATCCAGGAATGTAAAATAGAGCGAAGACAACGGCCTGCTAAGTGTTCTTGTACCAAGTATGCACAGCGGCCAGGTGTGGGGGCACATGCCTTTAGCCAGCCTAGTCTACATAATGAGACCATCTCCAAAAAAAACAAATGTTACAAATATGTAACTGGGCTTCTTTTAAGTTTATAGCTTAGTTGGCAAGAAAGTCTTCAGGAACACTATAGATTAACACAGTCCTAGATTCTAAAGGCCTCTGAATGAACAACAGTCTTAGTATAGTAGACCTAAGATGGACAAATAAAACAGACTTATTAAGGTTGGATTAGCTTAGATTTCAACTGAGAAGGGACCCCTTTCCAATTACTACAATTCTGTCACGTTGTTTTTGGTTTTGGTTTTTTTTTTTTTTTTTTTTTTGAGACAGGGTCTCCCTGTTGCCCCAGGTGGCCTGGAACTTACTACATAGACCAGGCTAACTTTGAACTCAGAGATCCACCTGCCTCCCAAGTGCTGGGATTAAAGGCGTGTGTCACCACACCTAGCTCAGTTCTGCCAACTTTTAAACATGGGTTTAGGGTGTGACTATATGTTACCAGCATGGTCCAAGAAACTCCCCAGTAGACATTCAAGTATTTCCTGGCTGGTAATATAACCATCACAGAAACAAATAGAGCATTTTCTCTGAAAAGACAATAGACTAATAAAAGGATAAACACTTCCTATTGTTCCGGGTATGGTTAAAAGACACATACTTTAGTTGGGCATGGTGGCAAAGGCAAGTTTCAGGCTAGCCTGGTCTACACAACACACTGCAGCCTGGGCTACAAAGCAAGACCCTTTCTAAATAAATAAACAAGTAACAAAAAAAAAAAGATGTAAAATCTACTGTGAAACTGCAACATGTTTTAAAATTGGTGGCATGGCATGTTTAACTCTGATCATTTTCTTCTCTATTTATTTATTTATTTATTTATTTATTTATTTATTTATTTAAGCCCCAGCTATGTAGCTATGTAGCTCTGCCCGCCCTGCCTCCCAAGTGCTGGGACTAAAGGCACTTTAATCCACCATGCCCGGCAATTTTTCTCACTTTATGAAATATTTAGATAATATCTATTTCAGTGCTACATTTTAGATACCCAAATGAAAACTGTCATTCCTATTTGGATTATCACAGTTTGTAACCTGGCTCTAACATTTATTATCTGTCTGACTTTACAAAAATCACCTTACTAGTCTAAAAAATTATTCAAATTTTTTATCTGCAAAATGTCAATATAATGTATCTAATATACACGAATTGTCCTAAATTCAGACTCATCTAATCCAAGGGGCCATTAATTGCTAAACTCTCTTATTTCTGTAGCAATAAACAGAAAGGATGTTGGCTGCGTGTGGTGGTACATACCTGTAACCCTAGCACTTAGGAGGAGCAGGAGGTACGAGGATCACTAAGGCCATCCTTGGCTACCATAGCTAGTTAAAGTTCAAGGTCAGCTTGGGATACATGAGAATCTCACAAACAATAAAGTTTAGAGATGGCTATGTAGCTGAGTTGTAGAGTTCACCTCTAACATGTACAAGTCCCTGGGTTCAATTCCAAATACAGGGAAAAAGGAAGGGTAAGAAAGGTTGGAGGGAGGGAAGCTTGACGGAATTCATGAAGCGGTTCATTACTTCAGGTTATCCATAAATTAAGTAAATGTAATAGTCAGCTACTATGGCTATATAGCTTCAAATACAGTGTTGGATCTATTTCAGTATACTTTAAATTTTAATCTTTGGGTTTTTTGAGACAGTGTCTCACTCTGTAGCCAAGGCTGACCTGGATCTCACTATGTAGCCCAGGATGATCTCCAAGTCAGGCTGATCTTCACTACTTTAGCTTCCTAGGTGTTGAGTTTACCAACACCTAGACATGAGTTACCACACTTGGCTTCAGGATTACTTTTTAAGCAAATGTCTTTGGTTTACATACAGATATATTCTCAACCAACTGTACTACAGTAACTACAAAGGCCTCACTCAAAAACAACAAAGACTGGAGAGATGGCTCAGCAGTTAAGAGACTGGCTGCTCTTGCAGAGGACCTGGGTTTGATCCCAGCATTCACATGGCAGCTAACAACCATCCATAATCCAGTGTCAGGGGAATGAATCCAACACCCTCTTCTCACCTCCATGGGCACTGCAGGAAATGGGTACACATATGCAGGCAATACACATACACATAAAATGGTGGCACACACCTTTAATCTCAGTACTCGGGAGGCAGAGGCAGGCGGATCTCTGTGAGTTCAAGGCCAGCCTGGTCTACATAGTGAGTTCCAGGACAGCTGGGGCTATAGGAAGACCCTGTCTCAAAAAGACCAAAAATAAATAAATAAATAAATAGATAGATAGATAGATAGATAGATAAATTTTTTTAAAAATCCTAGATAGATAGATAGATAGATAGATAAATTTTTTAAAAAATCCTCCAAACTCAATATGTAGTGGAAAGTAACCATGAACTTTTGATCCTATTGCCTCTGCCACCTGAGTGCTGGGATTATAGGCCTGCACCACTATGGTATTCAAGTGGTACTAAGGATGGAGCCCAGGGCTTAATGAATGCTAAGCAAGCACTCTATCAACTGAGTTATACCCTGGGCCCCAAGTTTTTATCTACTCATTTTCTGCCAATCCAACCTATTTCTAGATGTTTCCAAATAGTTCTATTTATGATGAGAACTATAAATGGGGTAATAGAAGATGAATCCACTTACACATATACCATGTTCGTATCCAAGTCAATGCAAACAACATCTTGTGGTGGGTCATGAAGATCAAAATACCTTGAGTCAACTCCAACTATAAATGGTAAAGGTGCACTAAGCACTCCAGCCAGTGAAAGAGGACAAAGGGGAATATATGGGCATTGCCACTGAAATGGAAAGATCATCTAGGGGAAAAGTTTTTAAAAATTAAGCAATTTTAAATTTACAATAAAAATTATATAATTCTTATTACTAAAAGGGACCATTGAAAAACAATGAAATATCTTTAACTTTAAATTTCATTCCAAAAATAAGTGACTAAAAATATTACTAATCAAGACTATAAACCAATGTGATTAAAATTTTCAATAATAATGATCACAGCACAATAAAAATACTAACAATTCTTTGCAGGTTAATTCTTCCAATTTCTAAACAAACCCCACATGCATATTTTATGGAGAATGAAAGCAGAGGGATGAAAGTGTCCCCAAAAATCACAAAACAAACTTATGCTTTTTTTTTTTTTTTTTTTTTTTTTTTTTTTTTTAAACAAGGTTATTTTTTTTTTTTGTCTTTTTGAAACAAGGTCTCCCTGGCCTAGAACTATGTAGACCAGGCTGGCCTCAAAGTCACAAAAATCCACCTGCCTCTGCTTCCTGAGTGCTGGGACTAAAGGCGTGTGCTACTATGTCCAGCAAACTTAGGCTTTAAACTTAGGCATTATATCCACTTAAAAACCCTCAAATTAACCTCTGACCAAAAATCTAATTAAGAGCACAAGAAGGAAAGAAGGAGAGGGAGGGGGAGGGAGGGACAGATGGCCTCAAAGTCACAAAAATCCACCTGCCTCTGCTTCCTGAGTGCTGGGACTAAAGGCGTGTGCTACTATGTCCAGCAAACTTAGGCTTTAAACTTAGGCATTATATCCACTTAAAAACCCTCAAATTAACCTCTGACCAAAAATCTAATTAAGAGCACAAGAAGGAAAGAAGGAGAGGGAGGGGGAGGGAGGGACAGAGGAAGGGAGGGACAGAGGGAGGGATGGATGAATGTGAACTTGGGGTTAAGCTCAGTGGCAGAGTTATATGCTCAGCATGCTTGGGACCTTGGGTTCTGTCTCAACCACCACATTTAAAAAAAGTAAAATGGGGGACTGGAGAGATGGCTCAGCAGTTAAAAGCACTGACTGCTCTCTCAGAGGAGTTGGGTTTGATTCCCAGAACCCACATGGCAGCTAACAACCATCTGTAACTCCAGTTCCGGGGGAATCTGATGCCTTCTTCTGACCTCCGTGTGCATTGCATGACACAGGTGCACTTATACACATGCAGGAAATACACTCATACACATAAATAAATAAAACATTAACAATAACAAAAAAAGTAAAATGGGGCTGGAGAGATGGGTTAGTTGTTAAGAGCACTAGCTGTTCTTGCAGAGGACCTGGTTCCCAGAATCCACATGGTAGTTAACGACCATCCATACCAGTTCCAGGGGATCTGAAACTTTCTTCTGACTTCTGCAGGCACTGCATAACACTGGTGCATTTACATAAAAGCAAGCAATACACTCATATACATAAAATAAAAATAATAAAAAAATTTAAATAGTAAAATAAGCCAGTGTGGTGGTGCACATCTTCAATCCTAGCACTCCAGAGGCAGAGACAGGTAGATCCCTGTGAAATCCAGGTCAGCCTGGTCTACTTAGTGAGTTCCAAGCCAGCTGGGGCTACAGGGAGACCCTGTCTCACAATAAGGTAAATAAAGATAAAAAATTAAAATAATAAAATATAACAAAAAATTAAGGACTGTCTTGAGAATGGTAACAACCACTTGAAGATCTCAGCAAAAAGCTTTCTACCTGCTCAAATAAACATTTAAAATCATCCAACTTTGCCAAGCGTGGTGGTATACACCTTTAATCTCAGCACTTGGGAGACAGAAGCAGATGGATCTCTGGAAAATTAAGGCCAGTCTGGTCTACATAGTAAGTTCCAGGCCAGCTGAGGATACAGGGAGACCCTGTCTCAAAAAAAAAAAAAAAAAAGAAAAGAAAAAGGAAACCTAAATAAGTAAAATAAAATTATTGAACTTCATTCAGTGAAGCCCGCCATTTTCAAAATACAGTTAATATAAAATATTCCTCCCAAATCTCAGAGAAACAATAAGGGGGGCATGGTGGCTGAGGAGCCAGAGGCAGGCATACCCCTGGGGCTCGCTAGCCACCCAGCCTAGGTTTCTGGGCAAGATGCAGGGTGAAAGTACCAGAGGAATGGGACTGGAGGTTGACCTCTGGCCTCCATATACACATGTTCACATGTGTACGTGCATCCCAAAGACACACATGAACATGTACACACACAGACACACAAAAAATGTCAGTTTCATTTACAAAGTACTACCTTAATTATTAGGTGTGATTAAAAGAAAAGACCAGTTTTTTACAGATTTTTTAAAAAAAATACTAAAATTTTATTATTTTGGTTCACATATAGATTTCTTCCCAAACAATTGTACTTCAGTGACCCTGAAAATCACACTCATAGACACAGAAAATTGTATTTATTTTAAACAGGTTTTCCTATAACCCAGGCTGGCTTCAGACTCCCAATGTAGGGAAGGGTGACCATGAACTTCTAATTGTCCTGCCTCTACCACCTGAGTAATAAAAATTGCAACCAGTGATCATCATTTTTTCCCCTAGTGTAAGAATCATCACTGTCGCCAGGCGTGGTGACACATGTCTTTAATCCCAGCACTTGGGAGGCAGAGGCAGGTGGATCTTTGTGAGTTCAAGGCCAGCTTGGTCTACATAGTGAGTTCCAGGACAGGTGGGGCTACAGGGAGACCCTGTCTCAAAAAGAAAAAAAAGAATCATCACTATCTTTCAATGTCTGGTTCATTTCTCACCCAGTCCAAAGAAATGCCTGTAACATTACTTCTGCTAGGGATTATGATTATTATTCAGGACTGAAATTTTTGTCTTCAAGAATTAAATTCTTAGTAAGCACATAAGCAGTCATTAAGTGCCAAGCACTATATTCTACACAAAACCAGCAGTCAGTAAAAGACAGACGCATGCCCTCACAGCTTCATAGTCTAAAGTTTTAGTGGACCATCTTCTGTGAAATATACCATTTTAGGCCTTGCAGCCTTTGTAAATGTTTAACTTTGCTCTTGTACAATAAAACAGTAATATGTCAATAAATGGCCTAGGTGCCAATAAAACTTTATTATTTGCAAAACTCCTGGCAGAAGATGGAGAAAATAAACAGAAGACATAATAAAAAATATACTATATTAGAAAGCAATTTTTACTATGAAAAAAGAAACAGTAACTCATGACATGCATAGAGTTCAGAGCAGGGGAGGAAAGCAGGTTATATTAGTACAATGTAAGCCTCAGAAAGAAAGAAGGAGAGGGTATCTACGCAAGAGTGCTTCCAACACACAGAATAGCACCAAAACTTTCAGGTGTGGAGGCTGCTCCAGAAGTAGCAAGAAAGCAATGTGACTTGTCGACGCGGTTCACGCCTCTAATGCCAGCACGCCAGTGGCTGAGGCACAGGATGCTTCAGGTCCAAGGCCATCAACCTGGGCTACATAGTAAGGACAGCTTTAAATATGTGGGAGCCTGTCTTTAAAACAACAACAGCAAGGGCAAAGAAAACGGGGCTGGAGAGACAGCTGAGCATTTAAGAGCAAGCAGCGATCTTACAGATGACCCGCATTCAGTAACCAGCACTCACATCAAACAGCTACAACCTTCTGTAACTACAACTCCAGGTGCTCTGTTGCCTCCAGCCCCTGCACTCTGTGCACACCCACACACATACACAGAAATAAAAAAAAATTAGATAGATAAATGAATTTAAAACCAAGGGCTGAAGAAATGCTCAGCAGAAAGAGTTCCTGCTGCTTTGAAATCATGAGAGCTAGAATTCAGATTCCATCACTCATAGAGCAAGCCTGGTGCCATGTGCACCAGATCATACAAGAGAGCGCGCGCGCACATGCGCGCGCGCACACACACACACACACACACACACACACACACACCCCACACATACACATGGGGGGTGGGAGGGTAAGGAGATAAAAACAAAAAACTATATATGATCAGATTTTCAAGTGCAGTAAGAAAGCATGTGTTTTAAGCAGAAAGAATCTGACTTCGTGCTTTATATAAGAGCTAAGGATGCTGAGCTGTGGTGCATGCCTTTGGTCTCAGCACTTGGGACTTGTGAGTTCAAGGCCAGCCTGGTCTACATATTGAGTTCCATGCCAGCTAGGGCTACACTCTCAGAAAGACCTTAACAAAAAAAAAAAAAAAAAAAGCTAAGGTAAATGATTAAAAGTTAAAATGAAATTAACCATGTAATTAATTTGGACAATTTAAGGTGAAATCGCTTAATACATTCACAAGTGTTCAGTCTTTTTTTTAAGAGACAGGGTCTTGTATACAGTTAAGGTTGGCCTCAGACTTTTGATCCTCCTGCCTCAGTCTCCCAAGTGCTGGGATGTGCAGTCACTTCCTTGGTACTGAAACACCCCCTCCATGAGAAGGGACGCTCATGAGACTCAGGAACAAACTAATCAGACTGGAAACACTGAATCAAGACTCACAAGACCCCTTTCCTAGGGTATGGAAACCCTAAACCACCACTGGGAAGGAAGTCTTCCACCAGCTGAGCTCCCTGTGAGCCCACAGGAACTCTAGGACTGCAGCCCCCATGAGCCGCAGTAGGCTGCGGTAGCTTTTCCACTTCCACGACGCAGCTACATTTGAGTTGCACATGCTCCCGTACCTGTCACCCACACCCCTGTTAGTAATTCTAGTAAATTCACTGGTTTGTCAACTTAGAACTTTGGTAGAATTATTACTTTGGTCTGTCCTTGGTTCCCTATTGGGCAAGTAGATGTTTGTGTCTCCCCAGGAAACACAATTGGCTGGTAATTTACAAAGTCGCTTTCTTTAAAGAATATTTCCAAACCTTTCATTAGTAATTTCGTTCTAAAAGGAAAATGCCATACTCACAGCAACAACAGCTTCAGCCACCCCAGTCAGGACAGCTGGCCTAAGAGAATGCAGTAGAATCTTACTCTCAAGTAAAACCAGGAGCAGCAGTGTGGCACAATTCTCAGGACCCAAATTCATCAGCAAGGTACTAAAGTTGGCTCCACTAAAGAACAGAAGAGAAGTTTATCAAATACTTGTTAATGTATTCAGACTTACTTATTAAACTATATTAGGGCTCAAAAGATGGCTCAGTGGTTAAGAACACTGGCTGTTCTTGCAGAAGACCCAGGTTCGAATCCCAACACCCACATGGCAGCTAACAACTGTCTGTAACTCCAGTTCCAGGGGATCCGACAGCCTCTTCTGTCCTCCAGGAGCACTGCACAACATGGGTGCACTTACCTACATTCAGGCAATACATGCATACACATAAAATAAAATAATAAATAAAATATGTTAAACTATTACATATTAAGAACCTAATGCTAGCCTGGCATGGAGGTACGTGCCTTTAATCCCAGCACTTAGGCAGGTTTTCTATGAATCAAAGGCCAGCCTAGTCTCCGTATCAAATCCAGGCCAGCTGTGGCTACAGGGAGACCCTGTCTCAAAAAGACCAAAAGAAAAAAAAAACAAAAAAACTAATGCTAATTTCAACTCTTGGCAATGGAAAACAAAATGTTGATAATTTAATGAGGAAGTACTACAGTGTGATTCAAACACATCCTTTGGTAATAAAGGGACATTTAATAAGAATTTCTGAAGCCCAATATTTGAGCTGAGTTCAAAGGAACAGAGGCAATAAAATTAACAATAGCTTAGGCTAAATAGGAATGACTCAACTATATTTGCATTCTCAAAGGACACACTGACTACTCAAAGGTACAGGGTAGATAAACAACTGAAGGAGAGGAGCTGGAGAGATGGCGCAGCAGTTAAGGATCTAGGTTCAGTTCTCAGCACTCACATGGAGGCTAACAATTGTCAGTAACTCCAGTTCCAGGGGAATCTGATGCCCTTTTCTGACCTCCATGGACATTGCATGCACAGGTGCACATTCATACACATAATGAAGATAAATTAATTTTTAAAATAAAAAACCAAATGAATGAAAGTAAAAGGATCAATTAAAAGACTAATAATGAAACAGTCCAGGTAGGTAAACACTGTAGCCTAGACTAGTGATGCAGATAAAAGAAGCAAAGACTGCCAGGCATGGTGGTGCACACCTTTAATCCCAGCACTCAGGAGGCAGAGGCAGGCGGATCTCCGTGAGTTGAAGGCCAGCCTGGTCTACACAGTGAGTTCCAGGACAGCTGGGGCTACAGGGAGACCCTGTCTCAAAAGATCAAAAAAAAGAAGCAAAGACATTCAAGGTAGTTAGGAGGTTAAAATCAGTTCTCCATGAACATTTACTTATAAACTGAATATGGAAAGGGCAGATGAGAGGAAGAGGAAAGTAATCCCTATATCCAGTTTTATAATTCTGGGGGATTTTTGGTGCGTGTACATACTTTCATATGTGCACATGCATGTGGCAGTTAAAGGATGACCTTGGGTGCTAGTCCTCAAGTACTGCCCATATTTTGTTTGAAAGAGTGTCACTCACCAAGTAAACTAGGCTGACTGACCAGCATGTCCCAGGGATCTGCCCCAGGAGTCTTCACCTCCCCAGTGCTGGGATAATAAGCATGGGCTACTATGCCCAGCTTTTTGTATGGGTTCTAGGGATCAGAACATAGGTCCTCACTTTTGCGAGGCTTAAATGCTTTACAGAATGAACCATTTCCTCAGCCCTTGCAATTTTCTAAGGAATTTCCTAAACAATTTTCTAAACAATTTTTTTAATTTTTCATTTTGTGAATGTAAACACATGGAAGTGGGAGGTCAGAGGACAACATGAGGTGTCACTCCTCAGGCACATTCCACCATCTGCTTGAGACAGGGTCTCTCACTGGCCTGGAACTTCACCACGTAGGGTAAGCTAGCTGACCAGTGAACTTCCAGGGACCCTCCTGCCCTTGTTTCCATGTGTCTTGCCATGTGTCACCCATCTGGCTTTCTATATGCGTTCTGTGGACCAGAAGTCAGGTCTTTCAGCTTTCAGGGGCAAGTGTTTCACTTACTGAGTCATCTTCCCAACCCCTGAAATTCTCTTAAGTGCCACAATAGGGTTGGGGGTGGAAGCACACACCTTTAATGCCAGCATTTGGGAGGTAGAGGTAGATGGATGTCTATGAGTTCAAAGCCACCCTGGTCGACACTGTCAAGTTCCAGACCAGCCAGGGCTACATAGTGAGACCCAGTCTTTAAAAAAATTAGAAAATGAAGTGCCAGGACTGGAGAGATGGCTCAGGAATTAAGAGCATTGGCTGCTCTTGCAGAGGAACCCAGGTTCAGTTCCCAGGACCCACATGGTGGCTAACCACCATCTGTAACTCCAGATCCAGGTGATCTTCTGGGCCTCGTCGCCAAGCATTCCACACACATGGTACACTTACAAACATGCATGCAAAACACTCACACACAAGATAAAAATAAGTAAAAAATTTTTAAGTATCACAATCATTAAAACAGAGCCACAACCCATAGATATCAAGGACAGAAGCGTTAAGGCAATTCCTTATCCTAGTTTGTCAAACTACTGCTACAGCATTCTCATTTTCTGCTTGTGGGTTTTTTTTTTTGTTTTTTTTTTTTTTTTGGTCTTTTTGACAGGGTCTCCCTGTAGTCCCAACTGACCTGAACTCACTATGTAGACCAGGCTGGCCTTGAACTCACAACGATCCGCCTGCCTCTGCGTCCCAAGTACTGGGATCAAAGGCATGCGCCACCACGTCCAGCGTTTTTTGTTTGTTTGTTTTTTAAGTACTGGAAACTGAAACCAGGTCTTTGGTATATGCTAGGCAAGTGCTCTACTTGCCTACTTAACCTCTTTTTAAAAATTTTTATTTTGTGACAAGGTCTAAGTTGCCTAGGCTAGCCTGGAATTTGCTACATATCTCAGGGAGGCCTCAAACTTAACAACTGTTCTGCTTCAGTCTTCTAAAATGCAAGCACTGCAAGCTTTTGCCATCATGCCTGGGTCTCTGAAGTATTTTAAAGCATTTTACTCCAAGAAAATAAACATAGCATTTTAAATATGATCAAGTGGAATGAGGGTGTGACTCATACATAAGGTCTTACATGCATAAGGTCTAAAATACAAGCAAACAAACCATCACTTACCTTAGTGGTAAAGGTGTGGAAACTGGCTGTGACAATATTAATGCATCATGGACTGATAACTTAAACAAAGAAAGATAAATTAATCAAACCAATTTCATAGCCTATTTAGACCAAGGGAAAAATTGAAAATTGTTTCATATGCAGACAGGCATATTTTTTAAGTACACTAAAATGTAAAATGATATCTGTAATTACTTGGTGGTATTTGTATTAGTTCTTCTTAATTAAATTATTGGATGAGTTTTGACTCAATTAAATTGATTAAAATGCAGTTGCTTAAAATTTTTGGAATAACTGCTCTTTTATAAAAGCTTCAAATTTATTTACTCAACAGACTGGTAAGCATTTGGTACCTGTCTGGTATAAATAAATAATTGCTTAACTGAAATACATTCGAGATCAACAGTTTGTGATTTAATCCTATAAATAATGTAGATAACAGCCTAAAGAAAATATAGTGCTACTCAAAGTGTCAGTATACAAACTGTTAGTGTCTGGGAAGAGAGAGGAAAGATACAGTACATAAATGTAAAGCTAAATGTTTAGAAAATTTCACGGCAATCCAATCTTCATTCCTATCTTCAAGCAACCATTTGTGAAGTTTCATCTATACAGATCTTACATAGTAAATCTTACAAGTTGTATACCTCCCCAGGACTGCCACTTCTTAGAAAAAGAAAACAGTTCTTTAGTCTGAACGCACTGATATAGACTGTTTTAGTTCCCCCTTCAATAAATATTAAATAATACTTAAATATTAAAATACAAAATATTTATTAGCTATTCTGATATTACAAACATGACCATAGCACAACTTGGGTATTTATTAAATTTAGTTACATAAAAGCCACTAATGGAAAAATGAATATCAGCCATGAATCAAAAATTGTATTTATTCAAATTTATATACCTGGGATCCAAAACCCCATTAAGAAAGAATGTTCAGTAAAGTTACTAAGTAATGGGATAGCAAAGAAATTCACAACTGCATAATACTTCATCTCAGATTCAAAGAACTCTGCATTATTTGACATGGATATATTACTTTTTCATTACCTGTACGAGGATTCTTGGTCTTTGTGGTGAAGGAAAAGGGATGTTTTGCATAAAATGTGAAATGTGCCTAGAAAAGATTGTGAAATAAACACTACAATTACTTAAAAATTATTTTTATTTTATGTGTATGAGTGTTGTCTGCATGTATGTAAATGTACCAGATGCATGCAACGCTTGCTGAAGACAGAAGAGGGAGTCAAATTCCCTTGAACTGGAGGTATAGATAGCTGTTAATTGCCAGGTGGGTACTGGGAACTGAACCTCCCCTGCAAGAGCAGCCAGTGCCCATAACTGCCCAAGTGCTGAAATAAAAGCATGTACCGCCATGCCCTTTGATAGTTACTTTTCTAAAATGCATCACAGATGTTAACAAACCTTACATGTTACGGAGCACCCATACACAAAACAATTTGCTTAAACCTGAGGGTAAAGAAATAAACTTAAACATAGTGCTCAAAGCTTCTGATTCTAGTTCTTGAGGTTGGATCAGGAGGACTGCTTTGAGCTGAAGGGCAACCTGGGCTACCTAGTGAGTTCCAAAACAAAACAAGAGCACTTGCTGCTCTTGCCCAAGACCTAAGTTTAGTTTCCTGCACCCACACCAGGTAGCTCACAACTGCCTGTAACTCCATCTCCAAAGGATCTGATGCCCTCTTCTGGCCTCCATGGGCAACTGCATACATGTGGCATATACGCACACACACATAATACATAAATAAAAATAAATCTTTTTTAAAAAAGAAGCTATTTTTACAGTCCTGATTATCAGTGCCAGTTCAAAGAAGCAACTAACTATAGTATGATGAATGAACACTACAAAAGGTAATCTGAGATTTACTACTACAATTTTGAACAAACCACCTATACTCTATTTCTCCACCTAGAAATAATGTTCTGGTTGTCAGTTTTTGTTTTGTTTTGGTTTGGTTTTTTTGAGACAGGGGTAGCCCCAGCTGACCTGGAACTCACTAAGATGACCAGACTGGCCTTGATCTTCCAGAGAACTGCCTGTCTCTGCCTCCCAAAAGCTGAGACTTTATAGAGGTGTGCAGCACCAATTCTTACAGAAATGCTTCTGAAGTCTCTCCAAAGTTTTAGGCTCTTAGGAATGAAAGAATGAAAGATATTACCTTAACAGAAAAACACTGATCACAAATACTAATTTTATTTTCACAAACTATCTACAGAATCTCAGTTTTCCAGAAGTTAACTAACCTGTCACTAATGTTGCTTTTTGTTTCAATTTTTTTTTTTTTTTTTTTTTTTTTTTTTTTTTTTTTTGAAAAAAAAAAGGCTGGCCTTGAACTCACAGAGATCTGCCTGCCTCTGCCTCCCGAGTGCTGGGATTAAAGGCGTGCGCCACCACACTCGGCTTGCTTCAATTTTTAATAACTCTGACAACTGAAAGTTATATCTAAAACTATATATCATTAACATTCTGGGAATACATTAAAGTTGAATGTATTTATCTTATACCAAAGTGTGATACTGTGATGACTTCATAAAGTCTCTGACATTTCTTACATTGGTACTAGAGTACATAATTATATACAAAAATAAACAAAAATCACACCCCACTAGGACATGACAGTTTAAAAATGACAGGGCTGGGGCTAGAGATATGGCACAGTGAGTAAAGGCACCTGCCGCCGAGCCTGATGCCCTGGTTTGATACCCAGAACCTAGAAATGAAGGGAGAGAACTCATTCCTGTAAGTTGTCCTCTGATCTCCACTCATTTGCCATGGTATGCATGTGCGCGCGCGCACGCACACACCCACACACCCACACACCCACCCACACACACACACACACACACACACACACACGAACATTTAGGAGTCTTGATTATTTAAGAATGAATAGGAGCCAGGCGTGATGGCGCACACCAGTCCAGCCGGGGTTATAGGGCGACCCTATCTCAAAAAGACCAAGAAAATTAAAATTTGAAAATAGGAATAACATACACAATCTATGTAGTTCTTTGGTTGAATTCTCAAACTTGGCCATGTTTACCAAGACTCCTCAAGTTTAAGTTTAAAAATCAATGATGGAGAAGGAGGTAATAAAAATAGGGTGACTATGGAGCTGGAGGGATGGCTCAGTGGTTGGAAGCACTGACTGCTCTTGCAGAGGACCCAGGTTCGATCCTAGCACCCACATGGCAGCTACCAACTGTCTGTAACTCCAAGTTCCAGGGGATCTGACTCTTCTGACGTCTGTGGGCATTGCACAACACAGTGCACTTACACACATGCAGGCAGTAAACTCATACACATAAAATAAAAATAATAAAATATTTTAAAAAATAGGGTGACTATGACTCTCTCAAGTCTATTGTTGAAAGTTAGGTAAACAATAACATGTATATTTATATATCTTTATGTTCCATCAGACACAGAATTTGAATCACTATACATACTTTTCAATGGGAAGAGGATGTGGTCCAGACACAGAAAGCTTGTAGATAAACATAAGGAATTTTCTAAAAGCTTCAAAAAAAGGCCAGTGTGAAAGCAAACAAATGCATTTGTTTGAATTGATGGATTTGGAGACTACTTTTCTCTCCACAGGTGTCAACAGGCCCAGCTGCAGAAGTTGTTTCTCTGTGAGAAGTTCCCGACAGTAAGGTTCATAAAACTGGATAGCAGCTCCATATACCTAAAGTCAAAGAATTATGTTTTAAGATTAGAGACTGTTGTCAAAATTTCCTATCTTTTTCTACATATTTTTACTCTTTTGAACCCCACATCCTGAGCATCGTAGACCACTCTTTACCAATAGATCCACATCTCTAGCCCTCTCACTGTCTTTTTCTTTTTTTATTAAAAAAATTGTTTTGGTCTTTTTGAGACATGGTCTCCTTGTAGCCCCACCTGGCCTGCAACTCACTATATGGACCAGGCTGGCCTTGAATGCACAGAGATCCCCTGCCTCTGCCTCCCAAGTGCTGGGATTAAAGGTGTATGTCACCACACCCAGCTGATTTTCTTTTTAATAAACATTTTGTATTTTTTTTTTTTTTTGTCTTTTTGAGACAGGACTCCCTGTAGGCCCAGCAGGCCTAGAACTCACTATGTAGACCAGGCTGGCCTGGAAGTCAGAGATCCACCTGTCTCTGCCTTCTGAGTGCTGGGACTAAAGCCGTGCACCACCATACCCAGCCTCTTTTTCTCTTTCAACAAGAAATATTTTCTAGAACTGCATACTAAAGAAATAAGCAAAATGAAAAAAATCTCATTCGAATCTCTACCCTAGAGTCAACCAGATTTTTATGTAAAACCCTCTAGAAGTTTTCCCACTGTGATTATATATTTAAGTATGTATCTATGTTTCAAAAAGGATAACCTCTTATGCAGGCAAAATGGCTAAATAGGTAAAAGCACTTACCATGCAAGTCTGACAACATGAATTTAATCCCAGATTCTATGGTGAAAGGAAAGAACCAACTTCCCAAAGTTGTCATATGACCTACACATGTATCTGCTCTCACACATGCACATTACTGACACAAACATTTTTTTGAATGGGAATCTCTTTGAACTTGCTCTCCTCCTTACCCATTCAGTGCATTTTCACCTAGCAACTACTCTAGAGAATGCACTTGAATGATCGCACTCAGTTACTTGCTTATATGTGATTTTTTTTAATCATGGAAAATACACAGAAACATAATGTTTATCGCATTAACAATTTTTAAAAAGCATTTATTACTTTGATCTTATGTGTATGAGTGTACTTCCTGCATGTATGTAAGTGCACTCATGCTGTGCAATATCCATGGAGGTCAGAAGAGGGCATCAGATCACCTGGAACTGGAGTTAAGAACGGTTGATAGCCATGTTGGTGCTGGGATTCGAACCCAGGTCCTCTGCAAGAGCAGCCACTGCTCTTAAATGATGAGTCATCTCTCCCGCCTCCACATTAACCATTTTTGTATGTATGTTGTCTATGCATTCATGTGAGTGAGGTTACACATGTGCCACCGAGGGATTCTCCAGTCTCTGCCTTCCATCTCATCACAGTAGCACTAGGATTACAGACAAGTGCCACCATGGCTTTACCAGGGTTCTGGGGATTCAAACTCAGATGCTCACACTTGCATAGCATGTATTTTTATGCAATGAGCCATCTCCCCTATCCACAATAACCATTTTTTAAAACTTTTAAAATTCTTTATATGTATTTACTTATTTTTATATGTATGTGTGTTTTGCTTGCATGTATGTAAATGCACACATGCATTCAGAAGGGGGTGTCAGATCCTCTGGAGCTGGAGTTACAGTTGTTACCAACCATGTGAGTGCTGGGAACCAAACTCAGGTCCTCTCTAAGAGCAGTCAAATGTTCTGAATCATCCTCCAGACCCCACATTAACCATTTTTTAAAAATTGAGGGAGGGGGACCTCCCTCTGCTTCCCTGTGCCTGCACGACCTGACGGCCACTCCCCAGGTAAGTCGACTGAGCCCTCTGCGCCTTGACCCCCCCAGCCTCACTCACCCTCCCATCTCCCCTGCCCATCTCTCCTCCTAGCCTGGGCCCCCTTCCAATCTTTGTCTTGTTGCCCCAGACACAAGGGGAGCCACCACTGCTTCCTGTTCCTTTACATCCAGACCAACCCAGTTCCTTCTCAGGGTCCCCAGGAGCCCTCTGGGCCTGGCCTGGCCCTCACCTCCCTCTACTTCCCTGGGCTGCACAACCCACCAGCCTCTTTCCTCGACACTGGGGCTGACCTTTTGGCTTCCTGATCCTTTACATCCAGACAGACCCAGTTCCTCAGTGCAGTCCCCAGGAGCCCTTGGGTCTTCTTCCCGCCTGCATCTCCCTTTACATCTCTGCTCCCAGGGCAGTCCAACACCCAAACTCCTGAGGCCAAAATCTTTCCTAACGGGATCCAGACCTTAGGAGAAAGCCTGAGAGCATCTGATCCTCCTCTGACTTGGGCCTCTCTGGGAACTCCTGAAGACAAAAGCAATCTGGCCACTCCAATATAAAATCAAAAGAGAGAACCGGAAGCTTAGATGAACCAGCTTTTCATGCCCAAAAAGTCAACCCCAAAGGCACATAAAGTTCACAAAAAGAAGCAGACCTAAACTTGAAGGCTTGAGTCTCACACAAGAATCAGAAACTACAAAAGAAATTCACGTGTCAAATTCACAGAGAAAAAAATAGTAACATGAAAAACCAAAATAACATATCACCACCAAATACCAATAGTCCTCTAGAGGAGTACAATGAGAACCCCCAAGAGATAGTGCAAGACACGAAACTCAGAAGAACAATTATAAACATGATAAAAGAATTCAGTGAATTTAAAGAACACACAAAGAAATAAAAGAATTGAAGGAAGAGAGGGATAAACTTCTGAATGAATTCAGAAAAGAGCTAGAAATATTGAAGACTTCTCAGGCTGAAATGAAGAAAGAAATGAATCACTCAGTAAGCCAATTAGAAATGACAGGAGAAAGCCTCATCAGTGGGATGACTGACATGGAAAACAGAATATCAAGACTGGAAGATAGAGTGGACGAACTAGACCACTCAAGCAAGATTATGAAAAATTCAAGAAAGCACAAGAATAGAGTATGCAGGAATTGTGTGACACCATAAAAAGACCAAATTTACAAATCATAGACATACAGGAAGGAGAAGAATCTCAAGATAATGGCATGGACCAGATCTTCAACAGAATCAATGAAGAAAATTTTCTAAAATTAAAGAAAGACATGTCCATACAAATACAAGAAGCATATAGAACACCAAACAGGCAGGACCAGAAAAGAAACTCTCCAGAAAAGAAACTCTCCACAGCACATCACAGTAAAAGCACTAAACTTACAAAACAAAGAGACAATTCTGAAAGCTGCAAAACAGATACGACAAGTCACATATAAAGGAAAACCCATTAGGTTTACAGCTGACTTTTCAATGCAAACTATGAAAGCCAGAAGAGCCTGGACCAAAGTATTCCCAGTGTTAAATGACCACAGATGCCAACCCAGATTACTATATCCAGCCAAAATGTCTATTATAGTTGAAGGGGAAAGAAAAATCTTCCATTACATAAATAGGCTGAAGGAATTCATGTCCATAAAACCAGCCCTTCAGAGAGTTCTGGAAGCAATACAAAGAGCTGAAGAAAGGAATGACAATACCCAAGGGGTTGTAGAAAGAAACTCAATGAAGGTATAACTGTGGAAAGTACAGCTATAGCAAGAATGTAAACATAAATTAAAATGACAGAATTCAATACCCATCTTTCATTAATAACTTTAAATATTAATGGACTGACTCCAGGTCAAAAGACACAGACTAGGTGAATGGATTAAGAAACAAATCCATCTTTTTGCTGTCTGCAAGAAACCCATCTCGCCTACAAGGGCAGGCGCTACCTTAAGGTAAAAGGATGGAAAAGAATATTCCAAGCAAATGGCACTAAGAAACAAGCAGGGGTTGCAATTCTAATATCTGACAAAATAGACTTCAAAGTAAAACTGAGACGAAATAAGGAGGGTCACTTCATTCTGATCAAAGGAACAGTTAACTAAGAAGATATTACAAACCCTAATATATATGCACCAAACTCTGGTGCATCCAAATTCATTAAAATAATACTACAGGACTTTAAGACAGAGATTAACCCCAACTCATTAATAGTAGGGGACTTCAATACCCCACTGTCTCCATTAGCTAGGTCAACACAGCAGAGTTTTAACAGAGAGACATCTGAATTAAACAATACCATCTACCAAATGTACCTAACAGACATCTACCGTGTATTCCACCCAAGCACCAAAGGACATACTTTCTACTCAGCACCCCATGGAACCTCCTCCACAATAGACCATATACTGGGGCACAAAACAAACCTCAACAAATACAAAAAGATGAAATAATTTCATGCATTCTATCAGAACACAATACAATAAAGCTTACAACACTGGAATAAGCCCTAGTCACAACATGAACACATGGAGATTAAACAACACACTCCTGAATGATGAATGGGTCAAAAGAGAAATTAAGAAAGAAATAAAAGTATTCCTGGAACTAAATGAAAAGGACAATACAACACGACAAAACCTCTGGGACACGCTGAAAACTGTCCTTAGAGGAAAGTTTATAGCTCTAAGTGCCTACATCAAAAAATCAGAAAGATCAAAAATAAATGACTTAACACTGCAACTCAAGGCACTTGAAAAGCAACAATAAATGAAACCCAAACCCAGCAGACAAGAAGAAATAACAAAAACCAGGGCAGAAATTAATGAAATAGAAACAAAGAAAACAATACAAAGAATCAATGAATCCAAGAGCTGGTTCTTTGAAAAGATAAACGAGATTGACAGACTGCTAGCCCAGCTAACCAAAAGAAAGAAAGAGCACCTACAAATCAACAAAATCAGAGATGAAAGGGGAAACATCACAATAGACACCAGAAAGATACAGAACATTATAAGGGCATACTATAAAACCTATATGCTACTAAATATAAAAACCTAAAAGAGGTCCCAGCACTTGTGATTAAAGAGAGGCAGGACAATTTCTGGGAGTTCAAGGCCTGGTCTTCATAGTGAGTTCTAGGACAGCTGGGGCTGCAGGGAGACCCTGTCTCAAAAATAAATAATAAATAAATTAAATAAATAAATAAATAACCTAA